CCAGGTTCTTTTCTTAAGTTCATTCGTTTATTTCTTCTGTGAGAGACAGAGAGAGAGAGAGAGAGACAGGAAGGGAGTCACCCATGGGGCCTAGTGGTTAGGCAGCTGGATCCCACATGGCTGACCACAGTTTGAGTTCCAGCTTTGCTGCTGTTTTCCCCCTCTCCTTCTGTCTCTGTTGCTCTCTGGCAATTTAAAAAAAATAAAATAAAAAAAAGGAAAGATTGACAGCAACAGAGAGACAGACACCCCCAACACAGTCCCCACGCCATGACCCACCCCCGTCTCAGCCAGCCCGGGTTGCAGACATGTGTTTGCACCCTGCGTGCTTGGGGACATGCTGTGGCACGAGATCGGGACCCTCCAGCCACGTTACTGCAGCACCACCACCTGGCCACCGTGGTCATGGGTTCTTAGACGTGCTCCCACGTGCAGACAGGTGGTACCCAGGTCTCAGGGAGTGGCTGGGGAGGCGGAGAGTAGGTTCCCTGGGAGACCGTGCGGCATGGGCATCCGGGGCTGGGCGTTCTGCCTCCTGGGGCCGCAGAGCCGCCACCTGCCGGAACCCCAGCCTCTGCCAAGGTGCAGGAAGGTTGGGCCAACCCCAGCCCTCCCCTGGGTGGGGTTCTGTGCTGGAGCTCTGGCAGAGGGGATGTGCAGGGGCTGAGTGGGGAGCGCTGAGACCTGGCTTTGACCATGTCTGACAGCAGAGGTGTTTGACGGGGGGCTCCCGACGGGGTCGGGGTTCAGGCTGCACCCTCAGCCTTCCTCCCCCCGTTGTGGTCTGAGGTCTGCAGGGCTGCCTTTTTCTGTTTCCTCATTTTTTTTTTTTTTTTCTTTCTCACTGCGAACATAAGATCCTTAAGAAAGAATGAGCTGAGGGGCCAGCAGGTGGTGTGGTGGTTAGGGCGCTGGACTCCCACACAGCCAAGCATGGTTCGAGTCCCGAAACCAGTGGCTTGAAAATCATGCCAGGTGCGGGTGTACATGTGCCCAAGACCCCAGGAGGAGAGTGGAGGAGAAGGGACTGCATCATGGCCTTCGCTCCAGGGGGTGATTTCTCACTTTCCCTCTCTTTGTCTCTCTGGCGAATACACGCACCCTATAGCAAAAATCTAAAAAAAAAAAAAAAAAAAAAGTAGTAGTAGTAGTAATTCTCTCAAGTTACCTACCAATTCAGTTGTGAAATTTTGTTCATTTATTTTAAATTTTTATTTCTTGGGACCAGCAGTTAGCGTAATGGCTATGTCGCTGGACTCCCATGTAGTCGACCGCGGTTCGCGTCCCGGACCCGGTGGCTTAAACTCACATCGGGCGCGTGTGCGTGCGTGCCCAAGATCCCAAGAGGAGAATGGAGGAGAAGGGATTGCAGCGTGGCCATCCCCCTGGGGGGTGATTTCTTGCTTTCTGTCTCTATGTCTCTGTCTCTCTGGCGAGCACACACACCCTATAGCAAAAACCTCTCCAAAAAAAAAAATTTTTTTTTATTTCTTCCATGAGCGAGAGGCACGTGTTTCATTATTCAGAAGAGAATTCAAAACCTGGCTCTGAGGCCCTCCCCACCGAGTGATGGAGCAACATCTGGCTCCTCCTCTGGCTGCCAGGGCTCCGTGCCTGCCGTTTGTCCTTCTTCCCAGAAGGCTCTGCGTTTCCGTGGGACTCGCACGCATGCAGCGAGCCCTACACAGGATGGCCAGCCCGGGTGTCTCCTCCTGAGCCTCCCCGGCCTCCTCCCTCCCACCCCACACCCGTCGGAGACCCCACGGGAGCCTCCCCCGAGCTCGCCGGCGTTAGTCTGTGATGATCGGGGTGTGCAGCGCCCCAGTACACAGGAGCGTCTCCCTGGGGTTACCGCGTACGCAAGTGGAACCCAGCCCCGTGAGCTCAGAGACAGGCAGACCCAGCACTGACCACCTCCCGCCTCTGTGTCCCCAGTTTACCGGGAACGGGCCATGCGAGATGAGCAGCGTCCAGAAGAATGAACACGAGAAGACTCTGGAGCACGGCAAGAAGCGCTCCCGGCCCTCACTCCTGCGCCCCGTGTCCGCGCCAGCCAAGGTGAGGCAGCCTGCGCGTCGGCGTCCACGCCGCGGGCACCCAGCAGGCAGGCCGCCTGAGCAGCAGGACCAGGACGGGGGCTGTGGGGAGGCCTCGGGAGGGCGTGCCCTGTTCCTGCGGCTTTTCACCTCTCCTCCCAGCCTCACGGGAGTGTCAGGACTGCTGCCCTCTCCCAAGGGCGTTCAGCCGTCAGATCACTTGGTTCCGCTGTAATGGCTTCCGTGGGCAGGCCTGCGGTACAGGTGTACGGGTCGGACACTCCGCAGCTGAGGGTGACGGGCTGGGAGCCAGCTCTCCTTCCACTCATCACTCGGGACAGTGGTTGTCTCTTTTATTGAGAGAGATTTTTGCTATAGGGTGTGTACACTTACCAGAGAGACAGAGACAGAGAGACAGAAAGCGGGAACTCACCCCTCAGGGAGATGGCCACGCTGCAATCTTTTCTTTTGGGATGTTGGACACACACACACACACAGGTGCCCAGCGTCAGCTTTAAGCCACCAGGTCTGAGGCTCGAACTGCAGTCTGCCCCAGGGGGGGATGGCCACGCCACAATCCCTTCTCCATTCTCTTCTCGGGATCTTGAGCACCCACGGACACACGCCCGGCGTAAGTTTTAAGCCACTGGGTCCGGGATTCAAACCACACTTGACTTCGTGGGAGTCCAGCAATGTAACCATTTTGCCATCTGCTGGTCCTCTTTCTTTCTTCATAGCAATTTAAAACCCCGTGCTGGGGGCCAGCAGGTGGCGCAGTGGTTAAGGTATTGGACTCCCAACATGGCTGTCCACAGTTCGAGTCCCAGACCTAGCAGCTTGAAACCCCCGCCGGGCACGTGTGCATGCGTGCCCAAGATCCCGAGAGGAGAATGGAGGAGAAAGGATTGCGGTGTGGCCATCCCCCCTAGGAGGATGATGGTGATTTCTTGCTTTCTGTCTCTCTGACTCTCTGTCTCTCTCTCATGAGTGCACATGCCTTATAGCAAAAATGTCTCAAAAAAAAAAAGAAATCCTCGTGCCCCAGGGTCCTCCCAGCACCTGTCCTCCCTCCCTGTCTCCTTGTCACTTCAGAGCACGTAGGACCGAACAGGCAATAGGAAACATTTCCGATGTCGACAAGTCCAGCATCCTGTCCCTTTGCTTTCGACTTGAGTTACCCTCGCCTGTTACCAGAAACCGTGGGGTTGCAGCTCAGTCTTACAGGGGTGTTTACACAGCCTCCACTCTTCCCCCGGTCAGGAGGCCACTGTGATCCAGTGTGTCCCCACTTCACACGGGCCGGGGACACCACACCAGTGGACACCACAGGTAGCCTTGCAGGTGTCATTTTGGGGGTCACGGGCAGCTGGAGGCTCCTGCCCCATTGCCGCTTCGACCCCCTCCTGATGGCTCCCGTCTGGGTCTCACGGCCTTGGCCCAGATGGACCCAGAGGCCACCCGCGGGAAGCCTTGGGGTCAGGCGCGCGACTCTCTCCGCAGAAGAAGATGAAGCTCCGCGGCACCAAAGACCTGTCCATCGCGGCCGTGGGCAGGTACGGGACCCTGCAGGAGTTCTCCTTCTTTGACAAGGTGAGCCCGCGGCAGCTTGTCTTGGGTACACTGTGAGATTGGCAGGGCTTGCCCAGCTCAGGCAGGGAGAGGAGCCCGCTGGGCCCCGGAGGAAGAGCCCCAGCTCCCACTGCAGAGTCGGGGCGGGTGGGTGCTGGGCAGGGCTGGCAGGGCCTGGGGTCCCAGGAGGGTTTGCGATGTGCACGTGGCGCCGACTCGTCCCCAGGCCAGGGGGCTGTGTGGTGTGCCCCGAGGCCTGGCTGCACAGACAGCCATCATGACGAGACCACGCTGGTTTCTCAGAGCCCGCCAGCGTCGGCCGTGTGTGTGTGCTCCTAACAGTGCCCGATCCCGGCCCTGGGGCTGAGCGGCAGGGCTCACGGCCGCCCCACGCGCTCTCCGCAGGTCCGCAGGGTGCTGAGGAGCCAGGAGGTGTACGAGAACTTCCTCCGCTGCATCGCGCTCTTCAACCAGGAGCTGGTGTCGGGCTCCGAGCTCCTGCAGCTCGTCAGCCCGTTCCTAGGGTGAGCGACCGACCTCGGGGCGGGGGGTCTGTTTCCGTAAACTCCAGCCACCTCGTTTGCGATGGTGGTTTCTGAAAAATCAGTACTTTTTTTTTTTTGCTAAGGTTTTTGCCAAAGGGCCCATGCATTTGCCAGACAGAGGGCAGCTGGCCACGCTACAGTCCCTTCTCCTCTGATCTCCTCTCGGGATTTTGGGCCTACGTACACACGTGCCTGGTGTGATTTTTCAAGCCGCCAGGTTCAGGACTCAAACCACAGTCGGCCATGTGGGAGTCCGGCCACGTAACCTTCACTCCATCAGCCAGCCTCAAGAAGTGCTTTTTAAGAAATTATCATAGGGGGAACCAGCAGTTAGCATAATGGTTATGTTGCTAGACTCCCACGTAGTCGACCGCAGTTCACATCCCGGATCTGGTGGCTTAAACTCACACCGGGCGCGTGTGCGTGCGTGCCCAAGAGCCCGAGAGGAGAATGGAGGAGAAGGGATTGCGGCGTGACCATCCCCCCTGGGGGGTGATTTCTCGCTTTCTGTCTCTATGTCTCTGTCTGTGAAAATCTCTTAAAAAAAGAAATTATTTATTAGGGACTGGCAGGTGGCGTGATGGTTAAGGCGACTGGACTCCCATGTGACTGACTGTGGTTCGAGTCCCGGACCAAGCAACTTACTTTCTCACTTTCCTTCGTTCTGTGTCTCTCTCTGATCAGCTTTGAAAAATTAAAATAATGACAATGGATAAATTTTTTTTTAATTATTATTTTTAAATTTAATATAGGGCGTGTATACTCGCCAAAAAGAGAGAGACAGAAAGTGAGAAAATACCCCCCCCGCCAGAGGGAATGGCTACACCGCAGTCACTTCCCTTCCGTCCTCCTCTCAGGATTTTGGGCGCACGCACACATGCGCCTCACCTGTTGTTCGGGCCACTGGCTTCAGGACTCAAACCCTTGTCAGCCTTGTGAGATCCAGCCACCTTCACTACCACACCATCAGCTGGCCTGATGTGTGCCCTTTCTGTTGTTGTGTGTGTTTATTTAAAGTCTTTTTTTTTTTTTTTTAAAGAATTATTTATTGGGACCAGCAGTTAGCGTAATGGCTATGTCACTGAACTCCCACGTAGTCGACCGCAGTTCGTGTCCCGGACCCGGTGGCTTAAAACTCAGGCCAGGCACGTGTGCGTGCGTGCCCAAGATCCCGAGAGGAGAATGGAGGAGAAGGGATTGCGGCGTGGCCAGCCCCCCCGGGGGGTGATTTCTCGCTTTCTGTCTCTACGTCTCTCTCTGTCTGTCTGGCAAGCACACGCGCCCTATAGCAAAAACCTCTCAAAAAAAAAAAAAGAAAATAGACTCACAGGAGCCAGCCCCATGGCCTAGTGGTTAAAGAAGCCACATCCTTTGGGGCTGGCAGGTGGCATAGTGGTTAAGATGCTGGATTCCCACATGGCCAACCACAGTTTAGTCCTAGCCCTGGAGGCTTGCTTTCTCAGTTTGTTTTTTTCTCTCTCTCTGGGGAGTGCATATGCCCTATGGCAAAAATTTTAAAAAATAATAATAATAAATAAAATTAATCATTCTTTAAAAAAAAAAAAAAAAACAATGCCATGGCCAACTTCATGTGTGTAAAACCAAAATTCCGAGAGGAGCATGGAAGAGAAGCGATTGTGGCATGACCACCCCCTGGGAGGGGGCTTTCTCTCTATCTTTGGCAAGCACACGCACCCTGTAGCAAATGGGAAAAAATAATAAAACTCCAAACTCCTCTCCCAAGGCCCCTAGGATACCAACTTAGCATTTGTCTTTATCTCCGAAGGAAATTTCCAGAACTCTTTGCACAGTTCAAGTCCTTCCTGGGGGTGAAGGAGCTGTCCTTCGCGCCCCCCATGAACGACAGGCCCGGGGACGGAATCAGCCGGGAGATCGACTACGCGTCCTGCAAGCGCATCGGCTCCAGCTACCGGGCCCTCCCCAAGACGTACCCCCGGTGCAGCGGGAGGACAGCCATCTGCAAGGAGGTAGCGCCCCCCCCTCCCCCCCGCGGGCTGTCGGCAGCTCGTCCGCGTGCTCCCGTGACAACTTCCCAGCTGACCTTTGCACCCCCCACCGCCGTGCTACAGCCGAGACCAGGCACTGAGCCCCCCACAGTGTCAGAGGATGGTGCTGGGATGTGGCCAGACAGAACCATCTGAGAGAAGACCCTGTCATACCCTGCTGGGACTTGGGCAGAAAGACTCGGGTGTTTTGCTCCCATGATCCTACTCTGTCCCGAGGTCACTGCCCTCAGCGTGGGGGGTTTTTAGTGGAGGTTGTTGTTATAGGGTACGCGTGCTCATTGGAGAGACAGACAGACAGAAAGAGAGAAATCACCCCCTGGGGGGATGACCATGCCACAATCCCTTCTCCAGTCTCTCCTTGGGAATTTGGGCGCACACCCACCCAGCATGAGTTTTAAGCCACTGGGTCCGGGACTCGAACCACGATCGACTACATGGGAATCAAGCGATATAACTATTATGCCATCTGCTGATCCCCTGTTTTATTTACTTATTTAGTTTTAATTTTGTTTTAGAATATTTTTGCTATAGGGCGCGTGCGCTCGCCAGACAGACAGAGACATAGAGACAGAAAGCAAGAAATCACCCTTCAGGGGGGATGTCCACGCCCCAATCCCTTCTCCTCTATTCTCCTCTCGGGATCTTGGGAACATGTGCCCGGCGTGAGTTTTAAGCCACCGGGTCCGGGACGCAGACCATGGTCGACCACGTGGGAGTCCAGCGACATAGCCATTACGCTAACTGCTGGTCCCCCCTGTTTTATTGATTTTAAAAATTTTTTTAAAAGAGATTTTTTGATATAGTGCATGTGCATTCACTGGACAGAGAGAGACAGGACGTAAGAAATGCCCTCCTGCGGGGGGTGACCACGCCACCATCCTTTCTCCATTCTGCTCTTGGGATCTTGGACACGAACATACACACACCTGATGTGAGTTTCAAACTGCAGAGCATGGGACTCGAACCTCAGTCAGCCATGTGGGAGTCCAGCAACATAACCGTTATGCCATCTGCTGGTCTCAGTATGTTTTTGTTAAAACCTGGCCATGGAACACTTTGGACAGAAGACCTCTGCATTTGCAGAATTCTTCAGTGCTGGCTGGATTCTGGGACATAGTCCGGAGACCCTGGCCCTGCGCCTGCATTTGTAAATAAAGTTTTATTGGCACACCCATTTGCTCACATTGCCTATGGGTGCTTACTCATGTCCAAGGTCAAATTGAGCGTGAGGCCAGAGACACGATAGCCTAGGAAACCTAAGATACTTGTTACTCGCCCCGGTGGCTTAAACTCACGCGGGGCACGTGTGCGTGCGTGCCCAAGACCCCGAGAGGAGAATGGAGGAGAGGGATTGCAGTGTGGCCATTCCCCCTGGGGGGTGATTTCTCGCTTTCTGTCTCTCTGTCTCCCTCTCTGTCTTTCTGGCAAGAGCAGGAGCCCTGTAGCGGAGAAGTCTAGTGTCCCCTGAAATAGTGTAAGGTGTTTCCCCGACCCAAGTCATCTTTTCCCTGGAAACCACCTGGAAATGAATTTTACTCTTGGCCTGATGCACTAGTCGCCCATGAAACCTGGGTGACATTGGGGCCAGCATGCGGTAGGTGCTGGACTCCCTCAGGGCCAGCGGCAGTTTGAGTCCCAGACCTGATGGTTTGAAAAGCATGCCGGGTGCGTTTGCATGCATGCCTAAAATCCCAGGAGAAGACTGGAAAAGGGATTGTGGCATGACCGTCCGCCCCGGGGGGGTGATCTCTCACTGTCCCTATCACCATCTCTGTCGTCTCTCTGGTGAGCACGCACACCCTGTGGCAAAAACCTTTAAAAAAAAAAAAAGGGACCAGCAGTTAGTGTAATGGCTGTTTCTGGACTCCCCTGTAGAGGTTCGGGTCCCGCACCCAGTGGCTTAAACTCACACCGGGCACGTGTGCGTGCGTGCCCAAGATCCCAAGAGGAGAATGGAGGAGC